GAACTATGACCGACAGATTGCCTTGAACTATGACCGAGGGATTGTTGTGAACTATGACCGACAAATATCTCTGAGCTATGACCGACTCATAACAAGTGTGAATTACATCATTGTTTTGTAAGATCAAATAGTTGTAATTAGTTAATTAAAACGATGTTATTTTACGTGTTTATGTATTACCTTGTAACCATGTCTGCTGGCCGAGTCACCCTTGAAAAAAAGAGCTGTAAAGCTCAATGAGTTATTCACTTGGATAATAAACCTCTGATTCATTGCTGCTATGACCGACGCATTTCCGAGTGCGATTCAGAAGTTTACGAGCTGCTCACAATCGAACGGTTGCGAGTTATAATCCTGTGGGTTGACTCAACCCATCATCCCTCCGAGGGTCGATGAAACAGGTACCATTTTGTGGGGAAGCCAACAGTGGTTGTCATATGGATAGACTCGCCCCCACCACAGGAATGTGGAATTTCTACGACTGGCTCTGGGGATGTAAACAGATGAGCCCTCAATGCACATTTGAGCAGGACGTCCCTGTGACTTTGTGATATTGCAACCTTTGCGGTTCAGGATACAGAAGAGGAGCGGAGCTCAAACAAGAAAGTAACCGATAATTGTTTTTTTACCCTTATATCTGGCAAGAAAACTGACACCTTTTTTTACAAGGAGTTATGTTTGCATTGACCGCAATACCTGCAGTCATAATACAAACAAAAAACATAACTCTGATAATGTATGCACTGTCCTTGAAGTTGATTGGTCCACACCCGAGACAGCTTTCCTTAGAGCCTAGTCTCACATGGGTTGGACCAGATGACGCCAAAAGGAGTCATCTGGCAAATGAGGTTCCCATAGTGAAGAAAGTAACCCTTGCGAGGTTTGCAAATCGGTCTTACAGAACTGCCGGCGACTCTTTCGCCGTTCTCGGCGTTGCTACTCAAATGCGATTAATTTCCACCGGCATGAAGCCTAATTGTCCTCGGCCGTGCCATCAGAAGCTGAGCCATACGCTAGAATTGCAGGTAAATTAAAGGGCGATGTCCCTTCGGTAATGATGACAAATCCCTTCAACCCAGTACAATGTCTCACGTCCGACTCGTTGGGAACTTAGCTATATCCGCACGTGTGCAAAAGGTCAGACACGTGAATATCTGTATGCAACTACAGCCCCACAATGCTCAAATGCTGCGCTGGTGCGGGTGGTTAATTGGTCAGGGCGAATTCGCGACGGGCATTGTAGTGGACTATAATCTGTAAAAAAAAAAGCGCGTCATAGCTCATCGGATTTCTCCAGGATAAATAAAGGTCATGATTCTGAGCTAAAAAAATTGCCCAATATCTTCTTTATTCTATGGGGACCTCATTTGCCAGTAAAAATATGATAATTGGTTCTTTACCCTTCTATCTGGCAACAAAACTGACACCTTTTTGCAAGGAGTCATGTTTGCATAGACCGCAATACCTGCAGTCATAATACAAACAAAAGAACATAACTCTGATAATGTGCACTGTCCTTGAAGTTGATTGGTCCACACCCGAGACAGCTTTCCTTTGAGCCTAGTCTCATATGGGTTGGACCAGATGACGCCAAAAGGCGTCATCTGGTCCAAAAAGGCGTCATCTGGTCCAACCTATATGAGACTAGGCTCAAAGGAAAGCTGTCTCGGGTGTGGACCAATCAACTTCAAGGACAGTGCACATTATCAGAGTTATGTTCTTTTGTTTGTATTATGACTGCAGGTATTGCGGTCTATGCAAACATGACTCCTTGCAAAAAGGTGTCAGTTTTGTTGCCAGATAGAAGGGTAAAGAACCAATTATCATCTTCTTTATTGTCGAATCAACATACGCGCAAATAGCTGTAACACCTTATCCATGATCACCCATGCCACCCGCCGCCAAATCCAGAACATCGCGTTGACGCTATTTTGCCATAGCTCCTGCAGGCTCCCGACTGCCGCTGCCAGGCCACGCTGCTGGGTCTCGCCGTGTCGCGCTACCGCCGTGCTGTTGTGACAATGCCACTGTGTGCATCTGTGTCGTGCGCGTGCGTGCGGGCGCCTGGGTCTGTGTAGGGGAGCGGTGGGCTACGAACCAGGCGACACGAGTTCGATTCACGTTCACGGCTAACACCGGGTGGCGATTATCTGAGCCGGTTTTGGGCCTCCTCTAGGTCGACTGGGCCTCAAATTAGATCCTGTTGCGGCGTGTAAGCATCGTTACTGGGGGAACGAAGGCGATCGGGCGTGGTGCTGACCACCCACCCCTCGTGCGTCGTTCTAGCCTTCATAGGTGCTCGCTAACAGCACTTGCACCAAAAGTATGTGAAGGCTATGGGGGGAGGGGGGTGTCATTGTCTTTGTTTGCACTGGTGGTGCGACCGCTCAAGGGCGACGAATGGGATGGGACCACTTTCCACTCGTGAGCAACAATGACACTTTTACATTGGGAGTAGAGCACTTGCTCCCCGATTCTAACCCCCCCCCCACCTCCAACAGAAGCGCTTGCACGAGCAATCCCCCCCTCCACCCCGATACACAAACATCACCGGTCACAGGAACACAGCCGCCTTCCAGCTGGGGTTGGAGGGGGTGGGGAGTGGGGTGGGGGTGGTCGTAATGCAGACGAAATCAGCGGTGGTGACAACGACGAAGCGGAGACGAAACGTGGGAGGAAAGTCCGCGAGCACGCACAGAGCATTCATCCTCGGAAGCTGCATCACCCGCAATGACACATTCGGGCTTTGGTGCCATTTGACAATCGACAACGCTTTCATGCTTTACAATAATGATGATGATGATAATAATAATATTACGGTAAATCGTCATTTGTCCAGAGGGGTGGGATAAATAAAACGAACGCCAACAACAACAAAAAAACAATCGTTTAATTACAATCGAGAGAAATGTCGAACATCTAGATTGTATATTCTAACGTCTAATGGGTTAGCTCGTCTTTTTTTTCCATTCCAAGTTTCACACATTCACCACCCACGTGCAAAGTCGCTACGGTGCACGGGAGGGGGGGTGGGTGCACTAAACGCGTCCGCGCTTCAGAGTAGAACTTCATGCTTCTCACAGGTTAAGGACGCACGCACACACAACAACAACAACAAAAACACACACCAAAAAAAATCTACTTGGGACAATTTTTTTAAAATAAAATGAAAACAAAACCGAAATGCACATGCAACAAAAAAAACGACGGCACCAACCGTGTCTGGAATGTACATTTAAAAATCTTGTTCAAATCTTTTTATTTTTATGCAATTGGGCTTTTTTTTCTTACTTGATGATGATGTTTTTTTTCTTTTTCTTCTTCAGCCAGCCTACTCGGGGGTAGTCATCTTAAACGACGCAACGTGCCTTGTTTTTACGTTGTCACGACACTAAAGTTTGGTACTGATGCTGCAAATAGAGATCATCTCAATATACAGATAACAAATACGTATTTTTTTTTATCTTTTACACACAATATATTCAAGTATATTACACACGCCTTGCCGCGTGAAATCCGTGAGTATGCAGCTCTACGCAGCGCGGTTTTGTGCGAAGGTCAATCTGAAGCAACTGTACGTACGTTTAGTTAAGAGAAGGCGCGGGTCAAACACGATCAGATAGAGCCTGCGACGTTCCGTTGACGTACACTAAACTGCGCATTCGAGTGCTTTCGCGAATGTTGAGCTCGTACCCAAGAATGTATTGAAAGGAACGAATCCGTGGCCACGCATCGTGATGCACCGCATGTGCCAGGCTCTTTTTGTGGCGACTGCGACGCGTGAACGCCTGTCAGCTGGGCTGGCATCCCGCGACAGGAAATTCGGACGTGAAGGTTGTTGACATCTCACGAAACAAACGAATGAAAACGAACGTTTCGAAGAGCGCGATGTGTCGCCAAGAAAAGTATCTGGTTAAACCACGACAAGTCAGTTTTTGAGCTCTTAAGAAGAGAAATTCAACCATTGCATGATTTCCACTGTGTGGCTATAAATAACCAGTTGATATGGTAAATAGTAATTATCACTATCGCGTGAGCAAGTGTTAGCTCGCGTCCGAGAGGATGATGACCACTGTGGAGAATGAGCGATGGGGATTAACTACTCGTGTGCAGCAATGTGAAGTCGCAGGACTGTGGTGACGATATGGGAAGGCCTTAATCCAGCGGTGGATAAAACATGGTTGATTGTAAAAGCCTCACTAACAACTATATCTTGCAAAGGACGATCTAGAAATATTTAGCATCTTTCCAAAACTAGTGTATTATGATTACCGAATGACAACTGAAGCGCTGGGTGCAATTATTGCACGTGTCTTGAGTAAGTTAAACGTAACTTCGAGCATCATTCACATGTTTCACCTTGTACGTGCGATACAAAATACGACGGCTTGAGTAGAATAGTGATGTCCAGGTTTCTCAGCGAGAATTACGACGGAATGACGCGGCATTGGGCTTTGTGTACAAGTGGTATCGAGTCGACTGCAATTCCAAGTGGGATCGGGTTGACCACAACTAGAACGCGAGCTGAAGAGGGCGATGTTTAAGCGGCGCCCGGTTCACACACATTGCGTCGGGGTACACAACAAAAACGTCACAACAAGCACCGCGCGATTCTCTGCAACAAATACCGTCGTCTTCCAATAAGCACATTCATAATGCGAGAAAACCTTACAGATTAACGCGGCGAAAACAGATCATTCGTACATTCCTTGGGGACGGCAGCCGACCGGCACGTTGCCGAAATTGATTCATACGTCGTAATTTATTTTCACAAAAATTATCTAATGCTCAGAGTGCAATTGACTTACTTTACCGTAAGAGAAGTCAGGGTTTATTACACTCTAAAATCAAATTAACTAACCACTCGTGGCACAAACACAATTACATGGATCCAAATTGTCACACATCATCTCCTTGAAATGTAACATACCACCCCCCACCCTCCACACTGGCCCCATCGGCATGTCGACGCCGATTGCCCCCCCCCGGATCCATAGAAAGAGTTGGGTTTTTTTTCCGCTCCACGTTTCCCCGTCGCAAGGTCATCGCCGTGCCTTGCAAGTGTGTTGTGTTTTTATTTCATATTTGTGTCCGTCATCATCCATCATGCGTGACGGCCACGAGGGCCCATCTCGTCCGTCGCTTACCGCTGATCGCGCGCGGGCCACGGGAGAGGAGATCGGCCGGCTCGATGGGCAAGTTCCCCGAAGCTCTCGACGTTTTGCTCTTTTCAAACGACGAGCGCCCACCGACCGACGCTGTCATCATTGCGAGCTGGCTTGAACGCGACATCGAGGAAGGTGCCTTTCTGCTTCGCGAGAAGCGGACGTCGCATTGTCCGACCCACCACCCTTCTTCACGGCCCTCTTTGCGCGGAGCAACATGTCGAACCGCAAGAGTCTGGGCCTCCCACGTCGTCGGGTTTTCTGTGACCTGTACCATGTTAAGACGGTAAAACAGGGCTCCAGGCTGCAACGATCACACCAAGGACTCAAGCGACAGGGTGGACGAACATTGATCACGTTTATTGGCCGATCGTATGGACTGTTGAGTAAGCTACCAAATGACTGCGGTTGCAAGCGTTCCCCAAGCTGCACTTGCCGAAAATGGCTGGGAATCCAGTTTGTGGCTTTTCGTGCCCACAATGATGAATGCCCTCCGTCGTTTCTTCCACGCGTGGATTTTCCCACACTGTGTTTTTCTGTTGCAACGTCATTTTCTTTTAACTGTGTTTTAAAACCGTGTTTTAAAAACCGCGTTTTAAAACTGTGTTTCTCACAAATGTCAAGCAAAAGAGAAAAAAAAACCAAGCCGTGGCATTTCCTCGGCGAAGCGCGGCAGACGACTCGGAGTGCAGAGGGACACCCCGCAAGGGCTGAATCTCATCCGTGGCAGAACCAGCCGCGCTTTCATCGCAATACGTCATTGCCGAGTTTCTTACCGCTCCGCGACATCACAACGTTCCCACCGCGTGCCTCGTGTGTGTCCTCGACATTTTTCTCAGACCGTGTGCCATGCAAGATTTAAGGGAGGGGGGTGGGGGGGTAACCAATTAAAGGTATTCGAGCACACGGCTTTGGTGCGTACAATTTTAATTGCTTTTTTTTGTAAGAGGTGCAAAAAAAACCGAAATATAAACAAACCATATGTGATGATCTTCTTATCATTATTACAATAATTATCTCAGAAAATCTAAGAAACTAACTGTGCTTTATTTCTAGAGCAGTTGTCACTTTTACTGACAGCTGCGTGTGGCGGCCGTGCCCTTAATTCTGCCAACGAGGCCTGGTGATACGAATTCCGAGGAGGGTAAGCAACCAAGGCGTGTGGGGCTGCGCAATCCTCGGCGAGCAAAGTCACAGACGTCGTCTGCACTGGCACTACAGCGGCGGCGGCGGCTTTGCCTCGACACTGAAGTGGCAATGAAACCCTCGCTGAATTGTTGTCACTCACGCAGCAAAGGTTCCGCCCGAACCAGATCTGGCACACGAATGTGAAAATGCCTCTTTCTCTCTGTCGCGGCGCTGACTTTCCCACGCGTTTAAAACAATAGCCAGTGTGGGAGTGTAGGCCAAAAATATATTTTGGAGGGGCTCTCCTGATCGTGTTCTCTCGATAGGAGGCGCTTCTTCGGCCCAGTGGTGTGGCACTTGCGGCACAAGTAAATTTCGGGGCTATGCCCTTCATCCTTAACATAAAAGTAGCGCCCGCTCAGAATTTTTTTCATGCGTTGCACGTATCTGCTGCGAGAGACGGTTGCCGAATGCTCACTGTGCACCATTATAGGGGCTGTTGGCCAAATTTCCCTAAAGCCGCTGAGCTCTACACGTTTTGGAAATTCGATTTTTTTTTCGCGATGCCGCAATTGGGTTTTGTTTTATGACCTCAGGACGACTGCTGCAGTGGGTTCGGGGACTCGTTCGTCTTTCCTCCCTTCCAGCCGCACCGTTAAAAGTTGTGCCTTAGGATGTTTCTGGCCGTTAGATATTTTACAAAAAATTTCTAGTTAAAACAAGGTAACAACCGCACTTCACGGTAAGAAAAAAAAACACACTCAATCTCTTCAGTTGCCAAGAAGGCCTGTATGCACTGTCTTGTTTAAAATTCTCTTCAAAACAAAAATCGTATCGTCACAGTGCTTTCGAGTTTTTTTTCCGTTCGCAATATACCGTATACATATATCCGTTTTTTTTTCAATTTTCATAGATATCCCCCACTCGCTATTACAATAAAAATCTTGGCTCGCTTCCTGCTCAGAAGGCCTTTACGTGGCAGTAGGCCTCGAGCCCGGCGAACAGGATGTAAATGAGCCAGAGCAAGATGAAGAAGCCGGTGGTCATGAGCTTCATGTTTCGTGGACCGCCCAGCTCTCCGCCCACGCTGGGCCTCCTCCGCCACATGAGCACGCCGACGCAGATGAAGGCGAAGACGGTGAAGAGCGTCACGGAGAAGGCCAGCGTGCCGGGGTCCACGTAGAACTTCTTGTTGTTCGCCCAGCAGTGGACGGAGGCGATGGTCCACGCGATGCCGATGCCCAGGAAGACGTTCACCGCGTTGCTGCCCGTCACGTTGCCCACCGACGCGTCGGCGAACTGGTCCTGCACGGCCGCCACCTTGCTCGCGAACGTGTCTGTCGTCCCCGGGAAGAAAGGTTCGGAGATTCGTTTGGGGGGTGGGGGGGTTGAGTTGCGTGGGGTTTGGGAGAGCGTGCAAGATAACGCGGGGGGCAGGGGGGGGTATTTCTGCAAAAGGGAGCGAGGGCAGGAAATATTCCCAACGTATTTGGCGAAGTCGTAAAAATAATCAAGTGTTATTAAATAAAACAAAAAAAACTATTATTTTTTTTTACCAGGTAAGGCCCTGGCCATCACAAATGATAGCGCAACAAAGTGGCTTATCGCGTGAAGATGTATAGCAGCCAAATACTCCTAATTGCAATGGAATGATACTTTACGGGAATTTTGTTAACATGCTGCTGGATGACGGTTCTGCTCCCTCTGTGTCTGTTGGTCAGCGGAGGTTGGTGATGTGGGGGGGGGGGGGGCAGGTCCGGGTTAGAGATCACTCACCACTGATATTAGTCGTGGCCCGGGAATCGAAACTCAGGCGGCAAACCACTGCACTACAGAGAGGGGGTCTCAAATGTGCTTTGTAATCGAGGATAATTCTCACCTCTTAACGATTGTGGTAGAAATATAACAATCCTCCCTCCCCCATCCCATTATCTCCCCCCCATTTGACATGAAACTCGATGAATCGCCAAAATTCTGGGTTGTGATTCAATTTAAGAATTGTTACCAATGATGCCGATCACTTCGTGAAGAAAATACCAATAGCTGTAACTCTCACAGTGCAACGTCTCAATGTTGACAGACAGGCACACAGAGGTGCCATCAATCAGGCGCACACAGATGACACGCAGCTGATGCCGTCATGCTGACAGACACAGCTGCCTGCATTGTGAGAAGATGAAACGGCTCCAATCCTGCGACTATGCAATCCACGAGGCGCGTGCTGCCATTTCCACCCCCCGCAAATGCCACCGCTTCTTAGCTTTATCACAGGGATATTCACGGCTGTGACATCGCAAGAGGCCTCGAGCATCATTTACCACCACATGCACGCACATCCCCATCGCTGGTTGAGCTGCAGAATTTCAGAGGACTTCTCATTATGCATTTCTCCGCAGCAATGCACAATGAGATTGTGTACCATATGGCTTTTCGCATTTAACGATGTCCCATATGTCATACGGAGTGCTCTTGCCTATAACACCTGCGAATGAAGCAGCATTTTATTCGCAAGCGTGGCTCTGCAGATGAGACCCAGAAGGTTGAAACCAGCCCAGAGCTTGCCTAAATAAATCTTGCTTGATAATATTGGTCTGGAAAGGGATTATTGACTAAACTAGAATGTTATTGACACGAGAAAAGAACCCATTGCTCTGCAACGGAAAATAAGAGACAGCTGTCATTTCCCTAGTCTTCTCATAATCCTGTACTCGAAGCACTAAAAAGTAATTGTACGTAATAAAATGGCAAGATAATATGTAATGTGACATCTTTCTATGTTCTCTGTCATTTAAAGAACTGGTGAAAGAATTACATTAGCAGGAGCATACATTGAAAAGTTAAAGCAATTGAAAAATGAACCGTGGTCAGCCTTCTGTATTCATTACTCCCACCTCTTTGGCATCACGATCCATTATTATTATTTTAATTTCTTCTTCCGCCATTTCAACTCAGTGTTTATTTTTCACATGGAACATCCCGTTTAGCCAGTTACCTAGAAACACAGACTCCAAACATACAGCAGGCGACAGGGTCCAAATCGAACCCACGACCTCCTGTAATTGATTTTTCCCATGGTCTGCCATGCAGCAAGAGAGGGGGGCGGGGGAGGGGGGGTCGGGAGAGGGATGAGGGGGGCGACGCTCACCTGGGATGGAGGTGCCGAGGGCCACGAACACAACGGCGGTGACCGAGTCCTTGAGGCCCACGGTGCAGCCGAAGTGCGAGGCCAGGTCGCCGATCATGGCGGTGAGGAGGCCGATCACGGAGATGGAGACGAGGAAGCAGGCCCAGCCGTTCCACACGTCCGTGGGTGGCACGAACGCGAAGAGCACCTTCCAGAAGACCGTGAGGAAGTGCATGACGTAGTCGAAGCACGACGGCAGCTTCTCCTCGCCGGTTTCCTCGTCGTCATCGTCGTCGCCTGAGAGAGGAACAAAATAAATCGCGCGTTTTGATTTGTTGTTGTTGTTGTTGTTTTTACCCACCCGTAGATTGTATTTTCAATACAAAACCAGAGGACCAGGAGGAAAATCCACGCGACCACGCGGGAGAGGGACAGAACATGCAAACTCCAAATAGACAGGCGTCAGGGTCGCAATTGAAACCACGATCTCGTGTAATTGATTTTTCAATACAATCTACACGGTGGTGAGATGTTAACTTCCTTGCGATAGCTTGCAGGAAGATTGTGGGTTTCATCCCAACCTTGATACCTGCTGTATATTTAGAGATTGCATGCCTCTCTTCCCGTTGTCACGTGGATGTTTCTCCAGGTCCTCTGGTTTATCCCTCCACATTTAGAATCAACGTGCGTATTTGGCTGCTATACATTTCCACGTGGTAAGCCACTTAATCGAGCGATCAATTTGTGACCAGGTTGTTTATGAAAAAGAGCGACATAGCTCAGTGGGGCCTTAACTGTGAAAAATTAAAAAGGTTAGTTAGTTGGATTTCGATTTTCTTTTTTCCCCCAGTTGCTGAGCACAGCCATTCAACCATCTAAAATAAAGAATCCTCTCCTGTTGCAATCTACCCTCGGGTTTGGTTTTAGTTTATTTTAACATTCTTTGTGATGCATTGAGTTGCATTCTACGGGTTCATGTCCCCAGGTCTCCTTATCCCCATCTCCTCCACTGCTCTGTCCAATTTGAAACTGTTTACGGTTGTTACTCTGAGCGCGTGAAATATTCAAATATGATTCAGCTCATAAAGGATGGGACCCATGGAATACGATGCGGAATATATGTGGTTCGAGAAAAAGGTAAACATTCTTCATTATTGAATTCGTGATTTATATTCAGTATCTTTGATATACCCCCCCTCCCCCTCTCTCTCTCCCCTGCCCTGGTTAGAGTCAAGCAGGCGGAGCAGCATCGCCGGCCGTGAATGAAGGAGAGCGCGAGGGAGTTCCCGCATGGGCAATAGAAAGGCAGCGGTGCGCACGCGGAACATCTGCTCGTCAGCGGGATTTAAACCGCCCCGCCACCTGCTCAACCCCCTCCCCCTACCGTGTACCTGCGCTGACGGTGATGGCATCCTTGAACTGCTCCTTCCACGAGTTGGTCCCCACAACGAGGGCCAGGTTCGTCTTCTTGATCAGCTTGTCCACCGTGCTCTGAGTGGCAGCAGAACGGGCGCGCGAGCGCAGTCAGGGTAGACGAAACGCTCGCGTGAAACTGTGAACGCCCGTTTGGTGATTGCTTGCACTTTCTTCATGGCGCGAGGCTATCGTGAAAGAAAGGTGCCACGTCTTCTTGGTTCTTTCGGTAAAGTCACGTAGAAGGGAAATAATAAAATAATACAAATAAAACATAATAAAATAATTTTCACGACGTTTCGGCCACAACGCAAGCAGCCGTCCTCAGGTGAAGAACAGGTCTGTCGGAAAGACGCTGTCTTTTCTGTTTTATTTTTATTATTTCATTATTTCCATTCTACGTGACTTTACCGAAAGAACCAAGAAGATGAATCCCTGCAGTCACAAAAGCTTTAAATCGAAATTTAAAGGTGCCACGGTTCATGGACAGATAAAGCCTGCAGTAATTTCGTTTGTGTAAATGTGGATTTAAGCAATCAGCTGATAATTTGAGAGGAGTTAAAACATTTGGCAAAATTAACGCTGCTACTCAACAAAATTGGCCCATTTGGTTATTTCAACTGTGAAGCCAAAGTACGCATATCATCTTCAGCAGCACCCAACGGCACATGTCAACAATTATTATTTTTTACTCCACCAGGCCCCATTGTGATCGTACTTTTGCCTCCACCTTGAACTCGTAGGACTCCTCAATGATGACCTCGAGGCGGGAGTTCTCCCCCAGGATGGGCCTTCCCATCTCGGCGATCCGCTGAGCTTCCTCCTTATCCATCTCGGCCTGCAGTCCGTTCTCGTGCTTGTCTGACCACACACGAGTCAGGAGAACAACGTCACGGCCACGGACATGGATGCGGGAAAAGTTCAGAGTTCACCTCCCTGATTACGGTTGCCACCTCTCAACCCTTTCCCATTCTGATGACGTGCGTGCGAGTCATCGGTTATTCTTCTGATTCTGTTCCGATGATGTACGTCTACATGTACGTCATCAGAAGAAAAACTGAAATAAAATTACTTTATCAGTACATCTTCAGGTTGGTTAGATGTCCCGAGGCTCCCATGAGGCCATGCGGAAAAGCATTTGGCACAGCTTGGCGCCAGCTATCGTAGATTGCGGTCGTGACGCTACAGTTCCCAGCGGTGACTAATAACACCTTTAAAACCAACGGTGGTGTGCCTCTCTAAATAAAATTAACGCTGAACCACTTTCGATTTCCCCCCGGCAGTGGCGGCATGGCAGTCGGGCTAATCGCCTATCCTCGCACTATACACGTCTGCAGTTTGCCAACTTCCTCTGCCTGACTAAATCCGGCATCGTATTCAGATGTTCTCATTAACGAAGCTTGAAATGCCAGTCGGACAGCTCCGGAGTGGGGGGGGGGGGACACGAGCCGGTTGGTCACACATCTACAAAATGAGAGCCGTTTGCTTTCCCCACGTGCATTTCCCTTTAAACAAAAAATTGGCGGCGACACTTAATTGCGGTGATCTACGGAACGCCATCTTTCGGCAGGCGGTCTTGCCACGCACCGCACCGCTCATCCATTCTCGCAAACATGCCGGGCGAGCGAGCGGCGACACCCACGACATGACCATGGGCTTCACACGGCAGGAGGGGGGGGGGGGTGCAGGGATGTGTGGTGTGCACAAGGGTGCAGTTGTGAAAAACGGCGAGAAAAAGTGAAACGTTTCCGATCGGGGCAGAGCTCCTGGAAGCGCTAAGCAGAGTAAGATTGCCACGATGCCACGATGCGGTGAAGCTACCGATGGGTCGCATGATACAAGGCCCACGATAATCGTGGAGGACATTTCGCAATATTTCACTGCATCGCGATTGATGTTGCTCATTTTACCCGTTAACAGATTATGCAATTCCCTGGTAAATATATTCATGATATAATAAACACAATGATAATGGTTTCAAATAAAGAGAAAATGCCCGTAAAATTAGTGCTTTACGAATATAATTTCGGAGTAATTAACAGCATGGTGGTTATGTGACCTCATTATTTTCCGAGTTTGTTTAATTATTGAAGTGTTTGGAATATTACTGACAGATTACGGGTCATGGGTCGTAAAGCTGCAGTTATTTAAATACTTATAGGACGCTTATGTTGAATGAACTACAGCTGCTGAACCTATCAAGTAATCATTATCTATGCTGGAAAACATGAAAATATGAAAAGAAATACGACGACAATGTCGCGGGAGACTCATATCGTGATAATTGTTCAATTGCGAACATTAATTTCATATTGTGCTCCATGTTGGTTTCTGCGCTCTGTCACGTGCTGGCGGATTCATGTCAAAAACAATTCTCGTCATTTTAACCGCTCCACCACGTGACAAGTTTGTCAGGCACACAAAGATATTATTTATAAGTGCTGATGTGTTGATGGAATTATGACCAATAAAATGTCCTCCCCACTGGTGGCCCGAGGTTTTTCATGACCGAATTTAACCTCAGCGTATGGCGGCGTTCCTCCCCAACGGCAACTTGAGCTCCTGTTCGCCGTGCTTGGAGATCGAGTGGAAAAACTTAATCGGCCAGAATTTGTAATGAATACATCGGCGCGTATGAATAATAAAAATAACATCTTTGTCAACGTGACAATCTTAGGTGATCGGAGGGGGTTAATGACAAGCATTTTGACAGGTAAATATAGCGCCGCGTGGCCTAAACCGAGTGCAAATATGGCTACGAAAACAAAAAAACGACGACTCGTATTGCGTCGTGAAAAATGACATCGTGGCAACCTTACAAACGAGGTTCAAAAACACGGCAGCGACGGCAACATGCCCCCCCCACCCCGCCTCTTATCCACGGCACCGTGGCAATGTGCACATGGCGCATTGCCCGTGTACGGTGCCCCGGAGTGCGGGGGCGTGCAAGAGCCATGGCTACCGGGGGGGGGGGGGGTACAGGGTGGGGGTGGACAGCAGCGTCGCAGAGTAGCGTCGCTTGAGATGGAGGAAATATGAAATGAGACGTGGTCATTGGAATCTTTAAAAACATAATAATAATAATGGGAATTGTGTTCTTTTTCTTAATTACGTTACCGTCGATGGCATTGACTGGACGATCCCCCTAATACCACCCGCTGAAATCATTAGTCGCAAAATCGGTGGTGGCAGAGAGAAAGAGGCGTCTTGTTTGTGGTTGACGCGCCACTTCTGTGCAAGAGAAGCGTTTCCACCCCCCCCCCCCCCTCTCCGCCCTGCCCCGTCTGCTTAAGGGATTATTAGAATCATCATTCGCAGCCGTTATTGGTCAGATAAATTCTTCCTGCGGCCGTCGTCTCGCCGCAGAACGGCGGTGGTGGGCGGGTTGGAAGCCAGCATTTGCGCCTGCGAGCGAACAAAGACCAAATCAAATATTCGAGGGCCGACTCTACCTTGCCTCCTTTTTGTCAGTCACTGCCAGTTCGTCGGAGTTGCAACGGCCACCGCATTACAACTCCCAACGGCAACCAAGTGGCTCGGCATTGCTGCGGGTTCACCAGCGTCAAAAACACACAAATGTGCCCCGTCTTTAATTTTAGCTCTTTTTTTTTGTTGCCTGGAATTTACTTGGGGGGGGGGGGGATTGGGCAGCTGTGCACACACACTCACGCACTGCTCCCCCCCCCCGCGCCACTGCAGGAATTATTACTCCCTGCGAGGGGCATTACCGTTGTACATGGTGTTGGTTTTACACCGCCGTTATGCATTTACGCGTTGGTTCTAACACCTTTAAGGCAAATGGGAAATCTATAAAGGGCACGGACGGAATGAGATTTTATGCTGAAAGATTACGTCGCGTGGGGAAGGTCATATTTTATAATTGGAATCGCTGTTGACACATTGCGCACGCCCGTGACTTTTGACCCCGTCAGCGGAAGTTAGAAATGTGTTTACTGCAAAAAAAGCAGACGCGGTAAATGGGTTTAACGCTTTTGTCGGAAATGAACGCTTCTTGAGTGAAAATAGGCAAAAAACTGTTGTTGCATTTCGTGATGAAAATGCCCGTGAATCCGCGTTAGTCTCGCGGCGTGCATTTAGTTCGGAAAGGGTTGGGACAAATGTTCTGAACAAAAAGGTTAAAAGAGTTCGAGAATTGTATCGTTAGTCCGGGAAGTGAGACCATCGAGGGAGTCCGTTTTCCGTAGAGCAGCGATGAGGACGACAGGACTGAGCAGGCAAAGTCAGGGAGAGAGAATCCAGCCGGGAAGGACATTGAAGGTGCACCGGTCTCCAAGAGCGGAGGAAGAGGAAGAAGAATGGGCAAGGAGGCTCTCAGCCAACCGAAAACAAACCGTGCTCGCACACCTGGGGTCTTCATCCACCTAGGATGGTCCAACGCAATGAAGAAATTCTCTTGCTTTTCATATTCCCCATCATTATTTATATGAACCTGAATCGTCTTCCTGCAAAGAAGGTGGGAGGGACAAGGGCACAGTGGGAGAGCGCCAGGCAGCAATGAGCGCATGCAGATGGGGTGGGGGCGGGGAGGCGGATGGGGGACCTGGAGCCCAAACACGCGGACACAGTCGGCAATATCGCACCGCGGCGCTTGCGGTGGCACTTCGCCACGCTCTGGGGCAACGGCGCTACCGAATTGTCCCGACCAGACGAGTTTTGCCCATTTGCTGCGTCCGCCATTGGAAATGCAAATGGCTCGGACCCTTTCATACCCAGGAGAGAGAGAGAGAGAGAGCAGAGAGGAAAAAAAGAAAATTACGGGGCCATTTGAGGTCTCCATTTATATTTGTACAACCATTATGACGACGTCAAAAACTGACGACTCGGTTCAATGACCTGCGTTTCCGCCGAGAAATATAAATTAAACTCGGCTGCTGTTGCGCGGCGGTAAAGCAATAGAGACTTAAGTCCACTCTGAACTCGGGTTCTGATGAGGAATTTGTGAAAGAAAAAAAAACACAGTGCCACCAACATTCACCCGCCGTGGATATAATCCCGACTGTGTCCCCGATGAACCTACAGGCACACGCGCACACATCACACACACGTGACGTCAACTCCCAGAGGCGGCACTCCACCTGGACTAAGGATTATCTCCACCAAGCGAGGTTCTCCCAGCTCAACGCAGAATGTCTTGTTTTTCTCATACTCTTCATCGTCAATAACTTTGATATCGATAGTTTTGCTGCAAAAGAAAGAGAGCGGTGAGATCGTCCCGAAATATTTTTCCCCGCGACGAGCATTCGTACAGTTCAACGTGTCCACGTTAATCGTTCACACCACAGCACAAACTTAGGATTACTGCATTTTGTTAATATTATGCACAGGGTGAGAGTGCTTATGAAGCTAAATCACGTTGTGCTACGATACGTTACCTGAACGTGAGCGGACGCGTATACGCAGTTCACAATTCCACGTGTGCACAGGTGTAATGGACGGACACGTGAACGCACGCACACGAATCTGCAATTCACATTTAAACGCACACGGATGTAAACAGGCAAACGACTTCACCTTCTGAAAAAGAAACCGCACAGGTGTAGAGCACGCCGATGTAAACACACGCACGTGTGAACACAATTAAAATGTTGTCACACAGGTCTAAATAATAATAATAATGGTTAGTTATATATCGCATTATTCATGCAAATTTATCTCACAATCACTGGGAAACCACAGACAAACTGGATTGCAGCCATACATTGCAAATTAGCTAATTGATGCGTGCCCGTACGTGCGGGAGGAAGCCGATGTAACCCCGAAGCGTGTGAGGGGGCAACGCTTGATCTCATAGAGAAGAGACAGATTATATCATCCATAATACGAGTACGACGTTTTTGCCGGTGATTACAACCAGCTTCATCGGGGGATTAGCCATAAAGGCGAATCCCCTTTTTTTTCAGGAGATTAAGTCGTTTTATAGAATTGTAAACGTTGTGGGTTTACTCTCCAACACACCGGTGTGCTGAAGTAGTAACTAATTAGCACGTTTTGTTTACCTGACAAATCTTACTAATTGGCTGTGTCGGATAATGGCGGGTTTAATGACACCTTGATATTTGCACAATCTAACTCAGAAAACCTTTATTATGAACAATATTTGTCGCGAAAGCCTAGGTGTTAAACTGTCAGATTAGAGTCCGTACTTTGCTGCACCACCTTCTCGTGGCAAGCCAGAGCATGGCTCCTCGAGACCCCCGGGAAGGGAGTTTCACAACATTTGTGTGATGCAGCAACCCTCACCTCCACAGCGCTGTATTTACCAACATGCGCCACTACCGCCCGGCTATGTATCTCTGTATGTTGAACTTAATCCCCACCAGACGTAGCCGACCGTGCCAATCGGAGGTGTGGAGGAAGGAAGGACACACTAAACACAAAGAGCAGTTCTAAAGAAATGAGTATTCAACCCAGATTTAAATGTGCATAGCTCCAGTGGCTTCCTAATATCGGAAGGGAGAGCGCATTCCAGACGGCCTCAAAAGTGCATCTGTGGTGACCCGTCCTTATTCGATGGCTAGCCCAAAAGCCGCTGCCAGGATGGAAAAAAAATTGCACGGCAATGGCAACGATGGCTAAATGGTGCAACAACTTAATCTTCCCGAAAGAAAATAAAAAAAAAACCTGTAGGCGTCATGTGCAGTTAATTTCTGTAAGCCCCTAATTACGCCACTGTCATTCCACAGATTGCGAAAGGCAGTGCCGTCGCGGTTCCGCTCTGTCCCGCGGAATGCTGTAAATCGAGCCGGATACCTTTCTAAAAGCCAGGGGCTGTTTTGTCGTGGCCTAACCCGGGGCAGGTTTTTTTTTTTAATCCTGAACCTAATTAGCTCCCAGACCGCGGGAGATCAAGGGATTCCACAGCATTCATTAGCGTTCGATGGGACGCGTTCGCTCGGGAAAACGATGCTCGATAAAATGCGGACAGACTTTCAGGGGGAAAAAAAATCTCATGACTAGACTAAATTATTTGTATGCACGAGAATGCATCGTATTTGACCTATTTAACCCCATGTACACATTCTTTTGTAAGGGGGGGGGGGTGGAGCGGGCAGGATGGTAATGGGCGGAGGTGAGATGATGGTGTAGTGGTGCTGAATTTATCACGCAATATCTTCTGAGTGGCTCGTAGACTGGAGTAGGCATGTGAGAGGTGGACTGGATGTGGTGTACTGGGAGCAGACCCGGCTCAGATGGTGGCGAGATGCTAACTACCTGGTATACAGGGGGTCCCATCTTCTTGGTTCTTTCGGTAAAGTCACGTAGAATGGAAATAATAAAATAATAAAAATAAAACATTATAAAATAAATCTCACGACGTTTCGGCCACAATGTCTGTCTTCTCGACAGACCTGGTCTCCACCTGAGGACGGCTGCTTGCGTTGTGGCCGCAACGTCGTGAGAATTATTTTATTATGTTTTATTTTTATTATTTTATTATTTCCATTCTACGTGACTTTACCGAAAGAACCAAGAAGATGAATCCCTGCAGTCACGAAATCTTTAAATCGAAAAATGCAGGGGTCGTCAGTTCGATCCTGACCCTGACGACTGTTGTATATTTGGAGTTTGCATGTTCTCCTTGTGGTCGCGTGGATTTTTCTCTGGGCCCTACGGTTATTTCCTCCACATTTTAGACACAACGTGCATTTAGAGTAATTTGGCTGCTATACATTTCCACATGATGAGCCACTTCGTTGAGCTATCATTTGTGGCCAGGTCGCTTCTCAAAAATAACTACACAGCTCCGTGGGCCTTACCTGGTAAAATAAAAATGTTTTTTTTTTCGTCCAGGTTCACGCATTGCATGGTGATCCCAGCAATCTCAGTTTGATTTCCAGCCATCACTAACACAAGTGGCGAGTGACATCTTAAAAGGTCCTAGTGAGCATTCCTTTCCTCACCCTTCACCCACCCAAACATCACAGTGTGGTGAAGTATGGTCAAATTTTCTCCACGACCGACGGGACATGGAGAGGCCTCTATTCAGCAGTGGACAGCCAAAGAATTGGTAATTATTATTATTTACTAATTAAAATAATCCTCAGATAAATATGTCAATTCAGAAAATTATAGCTTTTTTATCATACCAAAACCTTTATTATAAATCTCTTTTGATTTCAATATGAACCACATGCAAACTGCACGCCAGGATCATAGTTCCCCCACAAAGTAATTCCATTCACTCCTTCACTTTGTCTGCAAGCGGCACGAGTCTCATTAGGAATGCGGCATGCATCGCCTGTGCTCACCGGGCCTCGTCCGCTTCTTTCCCGCATGAGAATGGAGCCATTCTCCTGGCATCAACGAGGCTTGATGGTTCTCCTGTGAGCCAAGGCCCACCAGCTACGAGAGGTCAGCCTTCAAACACTGCCCCCCCCCCCCCAAACACTGCTCATCTCTTAACTAAAGAGATGAGCGATATTTCATCGGGCGTTACTAATAACTGGCGTGATGGAAGAGCGTGGAAACCTTGGCTCGTTGCATTAGGTTTTTTTTCCCCTCGTCGATTAATCGGAACGAGCTGCTATCACCCCCCCACTCCACACACACAATGGGATTGGCTGACGTCCCCGTCACTATTGGAACACTCTATCATTTGTATGCGGGGCCATGTGCAATGACACAATAGCCATTATACGCACATTACGGAACGTTTCATTTCCTGCGGCCCGTTATTTAAATGTCAACAACACGGTCGCGTACAATGTTTGTCCTGCGAGCGGTTTTCACTCAACGGAGGTCCCCCTTAGTGGCGTGCGCTTTCGTGTTGTGCCGCCTGCCACTCCGACATTGCGCTCTCCGGCACCTGGGAGATTATTTGAGGGAGGAGCGGTGTTCCTCCTCTAAGTTGCCCCTTCGCGTATTCTACGGTGGTCCACGCTGGGAGCCCGTGCTGGATCCCGACGAAGCTCCCCGGCACATTTAGAGGGTTCTTTTTTTAAGATTAATTTTGGCACAGGTCAATCCCATTGGGAAAGTGTATGCTGATGTTCGATGGGCACCTGGTTACACCATAGAAGCTTGATTGCAGCAACAAACAAAAACATCACGCACAAAAGATCCTAAAACAACTGTATGCGATACCGAACGGCAAGGTCGCACCATGAGCATGGTACAACCCGCACAAGAAAATAACATGGTGAATAAAACGCGTCACGTACAAAAAGCAAAGCTGGGCGATCAATTGCACGTACACGTCAAAGAAAATATGAGGTCCCAGAGCGATTTAAAGTAGGATGAGGACGGTGACGTGTTCGCTCGGATATTCCACAGATGAGAAGCCCGCCACACGGAAGGAATTTAAACCGAGTCTGGTTCTCGGAGAGTGGGAGACTTTGAGCAGGAGCAGGGTGGAGGGGGCGACTAAGGATACGGGAATTTGTCTGGAGGATCACATGACACGGGAGGTATTTAGCAGACTAATTTTGTTACACTTTGAGAATGAAGATGGCCCATGCTGTTCCATGTGTAGGTCAAGGGGGGAGAGGAGGGGGGTAATTAAAATTTAAATACATTTGTGGAGTGAGACCAAGGAACCAGTCTTGTTTAAGGCTGAGCCTGCCCCTGTAAATGTTACTGCATGTTGAACGATTATCTGAACCGGTCCCGGGCCTCCCCTAAGTCGACTTAGACTCAAGTTGAGTGCCTGGTACGGTGTGTAAACATTGCCACGAGGGAAACAAAGGCGGCCGGGCGTGGTGATGGCCACTCCCTCGTGTACCGTGCCGGCCTTCATAGGTGCTCGCTAACAGCACTTGCTCCTACAGTCTGTTCAGGCTATAAGGAAGATCTTTGTCTTTTTAGCGGCATTATCGACTACAAGCCCAGAGATCTGAGCTTGATTCCCAGCCAGTGGTCTCCCAACCTGTTCTGGACCTCTCCTAGGACGACTCAGCTTTGAATGAGTACCTGGTGCAGTGTCCAAACATCAGCACTGGGGAGACAAAGGCGGTCGAGCGTGGTGTTGGTAGCATCATTCCCTTGTGCGCCATGCAGGCGAGTGCAGAACAACACTTGACCCAACAGTCCGTTAAAGGCTATTTGGGGCATCTTTTTACGTGTGCAAATCCACACACACACAGGTGAGGATTATAAAGATGCTTTTTCTTTTGAAAGCAGCTCGAGTTTAAATGTGGTTTTATAGCTTTTGGATCATTAATAATTTATCAAAGGAATCTCATT